GAGACCCTGGGGTTCTTCTTATCTGATGGCACTGTTGTGGGTTGCTGGAAGCTGCCGGGTTCCAGTAGCACCAAGCATACGGGAAGGGGGGCAGGTTTCCTGTGCAGCTTCTCCTCCTGTGCAGCCCAGACAACAATCTGAGGCTGTCACGGCCTAACCCTGGCCTTGGAGGAGACCCAGGGTGTACTGGCCTTCCCAGTCTCCTTGGGCTCCACCCTTGGATGCCATGACCCCATTTCCTCTGCAGGGAGGGGTATCAAGCTACTTTTTCTGGCTGCCTCTTTCTAACTAAAGGATTGCTTTCTAGAATGCCAGATTCACACTGCCCAGTGGCCCTCAAACTGTTCTGCCTGTGACTTGCAGCAAGAAAAGTATTTGTTTCATGGCACAGTAGACATACTCAACTGTAGGAAAGGCTGAGACAACCATTCAGGGAATAATATTTACTCTTCCTATATCTGCTGCACTCTGGTTTTTCTGTTCTGTTCTAGACTTTTCTAGTTACTTTCTTTTTAAAAAATCTGATTGCAAGCCGCAAAGTAAGTGATTTCACAACCCAGTTTGAAAAATATTGCAGGGCTGGTACGGTGGCATAGTAGGCTAAGCCTCGCCTGCATTGCCAGCATCCCATATGGGCCCTGGTTCATGTCCCAGCTGCTCTTCTTCCAATCCAGCTCTCTGCTATGGCCTGGAAAGCAGCAGAGGGTGGCCCAAGTGCTTGGCCCCTACACCTGTGTGGGAGACCTGGAAGAAGTTCCTGGCTCCTGGCTTCGGATCAGCCCTTGCCATTGCAGCCATCTGGGGAAGGAATCAGCAGATGGAAGACGTTTCTCTTTGTCTCCCCTCTGTCTGTAACTCTACCTCTCGAAGAAGTACACACAATCTTTAAAAAGAAAAGGAAAATGTTGTGCCGGATACCTTTCTGGAGCTGCTTCTCTCTTCCAAACCAAGGAAGGACTCTGGAGTTTTCGGAGGCCCTACCTGTAGGCACAGTTCTGGGTTGGAGTTATGCCCATTTTAGAGGGAAGGAAGCTGAGGCTCAGGCTGTTTTTGGTAGTTAGAAGGGGAAGACTGGGATTCTAGACATCGTGGTATTAGCCGCGGTGGGAGAATTTTCACCTGGGGAAGCGGCAGTGCTGCAAATCCAGCTCTTTCTCTCCCAGCCGGCTGTTCCACGCTCACCAGCGCCGTCCATCGAGCTCGTCTGGCAAGCTCCAGGGACAACGGCTACTAGAAGGAAACCAGAATGCAAATCGCTGATTTGCTACCGTGACTCTTCCACCATATTTGGTCATTTCTGGTGCTGCTAAATGTAGTTTGTGTGAAAACAAAAACACTGCATATGAAAACCCACGCTTGGCAGGACAAATGGGGGCAGCACTACGTAAATGGCAGCCTGTGACAGAAAAGAGCAAATCCACATTTTTCTGACAGAAACAGTGAAGGAAATATTGCAGATGAATTGCATTTCCAGATAGGGCCTTCTATCCAGTGAAGCAGAGGAGAGAGAAGTGTAGCAGATTTTTCGATTTCAAGACGGGTCCCAGCCATTGCAGGCATTTGGGAAATGAACCAGCAGGTGGAGGGAGGCTCTGTCTTTGTCTCTCTCTCTGCCTCTTGAATGAATGAAGGAAGGAAGGAAACACCAGGAGATTAGTTCTTCCTTAAAACAATAAAGAAGATCTCAGAGCTCATTAGAGACAGGGCTGAGTGGCAGATGTGGAGGTCTGAGCTCAGAGCCACTGTCACTCCTCACTACCTTGCTGGACACACTGAATTCTGCCTGGTTTGCTCCCCCCTTGATGATCCAGGGGTCCCTTCCGGATGTGTGACAGTAACTCAGGTCCATTTGCTCCCAGTCAGACAACCTGGATGGGCAGACTGATGGGTTCACACAGGCTGGGATGCCTGCTGCGCGTGCTGCCTTCCCAGGGCTTTCTCCCAACCCGCAATCATGACCCTAAAGCCATTTGCATTAGGACCCACAAGGCCCTTCCCTGTTTTAGCTGGTCTCCGTTGCTTCTCTGTCTCTCTGCCCCAGCCGCGCTAGCTCCAGACTCCTCAGAAAGGCGGAGTCGATTTCTGTCAATTCCATCTCCCCGACCTGGAATCTCTCCAAACTCAGCCATTGCGTCAGACAGGCCTCTGCCCAAGGATGACCTTTATATATTGCAGCCAGGCAGAGCCGTAGATCCAGCCAGTGGAGACACGTCTCCTGCTTCCTTCCCACACTGGTGAGCAGGAAGCAGTGACGTGTCCTTATCACTTTGCCTCTCAGAGTGATAAACAAGGAGGAGCAGCTAAGGACATTTCATTCAGGGGCCGAGTGTCTTCACCCCAAAGCCCCCTTTGAATCTAATGTGCACAAAGGACGCAGTAAAAGGCTACCGTGAGTTGGCAGGAGCTGGTTCCTTAGCCACCAAATCTAAGGGAAAGACAGATAACATCCTGGATTGTGGAGCCCATTCTGAGTACTAAACCGTCACACCCTTTTACAGGAGATATTGGTCTTGTTCCATTTCACAGACAAAACGATGAGATTCCTAGATATGAAGAAACTGGCCCTGAAGCACATATGGAGTGGTTGAGCAGAACTTGAATGAGACAGTGAAGTTCACCAGTTGCCACCTAAAGTCCCTCCTCCTTCGAGAGAGAGGAAGCAACTTGGAGTGAATTGGGATGGTATTGAGGCAATTGGTCAACTATGAAAGAAGGTGAAGGATTTTTTTCCCAAACAAGTAATTATCATGTTGAGAAGGTCACAGGGAGATGGGGTGATGCCTCCTGCTTCCACCCCCAGGAGCTATTTGTCTAAGGATTTCCAGTGGCTCCAGCATCATTTGTTGACAATTATCCCTTTCTCCATTGAGTTGCCTTGTCACCTTCACCAAAAATCAGTAGGCATACATATGTGGGTCTATTTCTGAATTCTCTGTTTCATTGATCTGTTCATTCATCTTGATGCCACAACACTGTTTTGATTACTGTGGCTTTATAATGAGTTTCTAAGTTGAGAATTGCAAGCCCTCCAACTTTCTCTTTTTGAAGTTATTGTGGCTGATCTTGGTCCTTTGCATTTGCACTTGAATTTCAGAATCAGCTCACCAATTTCTACACAAAAATTTTGCTGATATTTTGATTGCGTAGAGTCTATGGATCAATTTGAAGAGAAGCAACATCTTAATGACATTGAGACTTCAGATTCGTGAAGATGGTATATCTCATTTATGAGGCCTTCTTTAATTTCATTCAGTAGTATTTAATAGTTTTAATCCCAAAGGTTTTTGCATATCTTTTTCATATTCAGCCCTAAGTAGGTTATATTTTTATGATAACAGAAATAATAAAAACTTAATTTCCAATTGTTCACTATTGGGTCCTCGATGGGTCCATTGTAAGGTGAAAATGCATTTAATACACATAACCTAATGAACACCACAGCTTAGCAACACACGGTGCAGTGCTGTTTGCTAACCCTCTAAACTTGTGGCTCACTGCTGCTGCCCAGCCTTGCAAGAGAGTATCATTCCACATAGCACTGTCCTGGGAAAAGATCAAAATTCAAGTTTGAAATGTGGCTTCTACTGAATGTATACTGCTTTTGCACCATTGTAAAGTCAAAAAATCAAAAGTGAAACTATTATAAGTTGTGGACCTCCTGTATATAGAAATGACATCCATTTTTGTATATTGAGATTAAATACTGCAACCTTGCAAAAGTCGTACACAAAGGGATTTCAAAAAGTTTATGGCAATGGAGTTCAAAGATGTTTGCTTTCCATACATCTGAAGATTCATCCTGTTAGTACTAGTAGCACAGTTTGTTTTGTTTTGTTTTGTTTTTGTTTTTGTTTTTTGGTAGATTTCATGGGATTTTCTGCACAGATGACTCAACCAAAATAGGTTTCTGAGGGGTTGTGTTCAAGAAGGCTGCGTTCTAGAAAGTTCCATCGTCAAGCTGCTGTAGAGGAATAGGAAAAGCCGACTCCAGGACAGTCAAGTCTTGCGGGCTTGGCCTCAGGGCAGCGGATCCACAGACCTGGTGGTTTCACTGAGGCTAAAGTCGAAGTGGGTCAGTGGTCTATTAAAACTGGGTGCACCCAGAGCACGGATCATTCAATTACGCCTAAGAGCTGGGTGAAGGCAACGATTGTCTCTCCTGGTTGGAACAGTCTCCAGAAAATTCCTTCTCTCACCCAAACCTTGTGAAGCTTCCTTCCTGGTCTCTGAGGCTTCTCACCGTGGCCTGCTCTGATCCTTTCTCCGCTGGGCCAGTGTGAAAGTGCACATCGTGCCAGGCCAGGCCTTGCACCGCGACTAAAACCCAGACCCCGCACCTAGGCCTCACCGGCGCCCCTTGCCCCGCTTCTGCTCACTCCCCTCGTAATTTCTCCCGGAGCCTTTCCTACCCCTCCCGACCGGTGACCACTCTCAGAACACCTGCCTGCGCTCCCCGCATTCGTCATTCGATTTTGTACCCAAGCAGGAGCAGAACAGTCAGGCCCATGCCATTCTGTTACCTGGCAAGCAGTAGGCACTCAGTCAACGGTTTGAATGGGGGCTGGAGCTCTCTATAGCTGCACACACACACCCAGCCACTCACCCACTCGCTCCTCCACCTTTGTGGGTGACCTCACAGGGTATCTTCCTCTTCTCTTCCTTTCTAAGGGGAGTTCAAATCCTGGCTGTGGGTGAAAATCTCCCCAGGAGATTCTAGAAAATATCAGTGCCTGGACCCTATCCCAGAACACTGAAACCGAGTCGCTGGGAGTAAGGCCCTGGCATTTGTGCTTTTCTGCCGAGCACCCAGACTGGAGAACCACTGACACCAACGAAAAGGCTGCTGTCATGCAGCCAGATGATGAAAAACCACGGTGGACTCCCTGTAGGAGGCCAGCAGGTGGGATACCCAAGGAACCTCACCCGGATACCCCCAACTCAGCCTCTCGGAAGGGTCACCTTGCTTCAGAGCGAGAAGGAAGTGGGAAATCAGACCAGAGTGGAAAGCATTTTCAAACTTTATTTACAACTGTCACAGTGACAAAAAGTAGTTTGGAAAACAAAAATGCTAGTTTCTCCCTGAGCCTCAAAAAAGAACAGATAGAAGTTACAGGAGGTTCATCTCACGGCAGGCGTTTTTACTGAAATACTAGGATTTTTTTTTCAATACGGTCAGTTAGAAATACACACAAATTACTTTAAAAAAAAAAAAAAAGAAAAAGAAAAAGAGAGAGGAGGCCAGGCAGGAGCTCAGCCACTTGTCCAAGAGCAGCTGGGTCCCTCCCAACAGGCTCAGCTGCTGAGGGGCCTGACTGGAGCTGCCAGCCCTGGCCTGCTCAGACTGCAAACGGCCGTGCAGCCGGGACAATAAGCCAGCCCCACAAACATACACAGACACAGAGTAGATGTGTTACGCAGTTTACAAGCACGTTCCCACCACACAGCAAGACCAGGACAGATGATACAGGGTAGCAGATGAGAAGGAGACACCAAAACACAGGACTTGAGAAGGCAAGACCCACCCCCCCCCCCCAACAAAGGGAGAGAGGGAAGAGAAACTGCGCGTGGGAATGAGGAAGGTTGAGCAACCCGTCCCAGCCAGCACAGAGCCAAGTGGGACAAGAGACAGAAGCCCCCTCGTGGCGCAGGCTGCCGGCCTCTCCCACGTCTGCAAGGAGCCGGAAGAAGTTATTGCCATCGATGTGTGTGACACAGGCAGGCGACAGAGGGAGGAAGCAGGGGTGAGGGCGACTCTAGCATCTCAGAGCCAACTCCACTGGCGCCCACAGTGCACCCTCGTCCACCCCGCCCCACACGCCCCAGAGCCCCATTGACCTTGAGGTATTAAATACTGCTAGACACACAAGTCCAATCCGGGGGTCCACCTGGACCGACTGGAGACCTGAGGGGACACCGTGGGTGCCTCGGTTGGCTGCGTTTAGCCCAAGGAAGGCTCCAAGTCCACCTCTTGGCCGCATCGTCCTGCTCAGACACAGAGAAGGGCAGGAGAGTTTGTCCGGCAGTCTGTTGCTCCACGTGGTTTTGAACCATGAGAAGCAGCTCTGAGTCCAAGGCGAACTTTCTCATGCACCTGATGCCCTTGCAGGAAGCAAGTGGAAGGGACAAAGCCCACCACTGGGGAGGGACATAGAAGTGCTCCCTCATCACGCTTCCCACTTGTGTCCGGAGACAACAGACAGAAGGCAGGGGTCTGTCTCATCAGAGCCTCGTCACCACTATGCAGCCACTCCCAGGCTGTGCCAGCTCTCGGGATCTGCCCAGCAAGAACCAGGAAAAGCCACCTCTACTCTTCACTCAGCTCCACAAGAGAAAGAGGCCAAGAACCCACATGGGAGTGGGAGCTGCAGCTGGTCAGACGGGCTGCCATCCACAGCAGGCTAGGCACAGCTCTGCTGGCTACTGTGGCTAAGGCTGCAGCATGGCGGGAAGGAGAGGGAAGGGCGTGGATGAAGCTGACCTGGTCCTTGCTTCTGCTGAACTCTGACAGCAAGGCCTGGGGAGAGGAGGGGGCCTTCTAGGGTGGGACATTCCTGCTTGGGTGTCTGCCTGAGGGCATCCAAGGACAGGGTGTGTTCTTGCTACTTCCCAGAGGGCTGGGAGGCCAAAAGGACAAATCAGAGGTGAATTACTCAAAGGCCAGCCCTGGGCTCTATGAGCCAGCCTGGCGGGAGCAGTTAGAGGGGGATGGCAGGGTGCTGTTGGTTTCCTGCATATTCCCTCCAGAGGGGCTTCCCCTGCTCCCCACCCCCCCACCAGAGGCCAGCACACCTGCAGTAGAAGCCCAGGGTGGCAGTGGTGAGGCTGGAGAGAGATGAAGACTTGGTTTCCTGCTGCCCCCGCAGCCAGAGCCATGGCTCCCCGAGCTGCTCCTGGCTGCCCTTCTCTGCTGATGTCTCCTAAAGTCAGGCATTTTCTCGCTTAGCCCCAAGTTGGTTTCCTTACCCCACAAGCTCCTTGCTCTCTTTGCCCAGCCCCCACACCCACCCCAGGCCCCCCCAGGGACCCCGCACCGCCCCTGGCTGCCGGAGCCCTGATACGATCGCTCGCCCACACCCCAAACCCCGGCTCTGAGCAGCTTCCTTTCTCAGAAGACCTTGCAAGTTGTCAGAGGGCTCCACTGCTCGCCACAGTTCAAAAAAAGAAAAAGAAAAGACGAAAGAAAACCCACTCGGGGAGTCGCAGGTGCAAAACGGAAGCCTCCTTTGACATTTTCAGAACTACCGGGGCTCACGCTCGCCTTCCACGATGGGAAAAACACAGTTCAGGGACCGATGCCGCCGGCGGGCACCGCCCCGTGGGAGGCCGCAGCGACTCTACTGCTCCTTGGTTTCCTTCGCTGTGTCTTCGCAGTTGTCTTGCTCGTCTTCCTGGACCAAGAACTCCTCGGGGGGCCACCGCAGCTCCCCGCTCTCCACCTCCCCCTCTGTGGGCTCCACCACTATGGAGGGCAGGCGGTCCTTTAGCTTGCAGCAGCGGTCGAAGTCTGACGGGTCGGGGAAGATCTGGAAGGCAAGCAGAGCGGGCACCCGATCAGTCAGTGCTTGCAGAGCGAGGTGCAATACCCGCCTCCCACGCATGCGCTGGGGTCGGCCAGGGGCACCCCCCCACACCGGCGGCCACTGCAGCGGGTCTGAGGCTGGAGCTGGGGGAGTCAGTTCTAGGCTAGGGCAAGACAGGAAACTGTCCAAGGCCGGGCTTTGATTCCCACCCTTGAAGCTGAACGTCTGGGGGCAGTGCCACTGAGTCTTGCGGGTGGGAGTGACTGTACTCTTTGTTTTATTTACACACAAAAGACTTCCAAATCACGTCATCACAGTGAGTTATGTCTCTGCAGCTGGCCAAAGCTTGAAAGAGGCGCCCTGGCATTCAGTGTGGCCAGTGGGAGCTGGCTAGCAGGTGCTCACAGGCAGCACGGCCATGCTGGACACAGGTGCTGCTGATGCTACCACAAAGATTCCCTGGCTTAACCAGGCTGAGTATCCTAGACCACACAGGCTGGAAACGAGCGAGGGGTGGAATGGGACTCAAACCCAGGGCAGTCTGACTTCCACGGCTGTGCCCCCACCCCACGCAGCCCCTCAGGGTGAGAAATGATCCCGGTGTCATTATAAAGTCAAAGCCAGATTGAACAGAGGCATAGCCGCCAGCCACAGTCCATCAGCTGGGAACAAATCCTTCCTACCTTCTCCACCTGCAGGCACCTCCCAGCCTCTCGCCGGCTTAACGCCTGGAAGAGTCTGCAGTTCTTTCCAGGGTCTTGTCAACATAGCGGCGTTTTGTTAATACCTACTGTGTGTCCTGCCCGGAGCTGGCAGAAACCTCAAGCCAGGCTATAAAACCAAGGGCCAGGTCTGCTCTGTGGATTCCCGCTGCACTGTGCACTGCCCTGTGGCCACAGCTGACCCAATTCTTTGCCCAGCAGCTTAAGTGTTTAATCTGTTGGGCTGCTGGTCCCTTGCCACTCACAGCCCACGGCCCGCGGCGACACATCCTAGAGCTGGAGAGGAGAGCCTCTGTCTAGAATGCCAGGGCTCACGAAATCCCAGACATAGCAACTTCAAGGGCAAACTGAGGCCCACAGGGGTCAAAGACTGGCCCAAGGCTGTAGTGTTTCTTCAAGGCAAAGGAAAGGAAAGCAAGAGTTGGGGTGGGTGGAGAAAACATGGGGAGAGAACCTGGGGCTGCCCCAATAGAGACAGACCCATGGCGGCCCACAGGTGTCGTCCGTAATCAGCAGGTGAAAGAAATGCTCTCCTACGAGCCCGGCCTCCCAACCTCTCATGCTGCTCTGAGGGTGCTGGTCCTACTGCACCCAAGCCCCCTGCAATGCTGCCTGGCTGACTCTGACCACGTCACAGGCACGTGGGGCTTCGGGGAGTCATGGGCCTCTGCGACGTCACCCCAATCCCTGCAGACAAGTGATTATTAACCATTTATCCAATAAAGGCCTATTGCTGGGGATTAAGCCTTAAGCCAGCTGCACAACCAGGCATCATTAAAGACTTAACAAGGCTCATAAAACGTACTGTAATGGCAGCCAGACAGAAAACAAGCCACGGAGGAGCTGGGCCAGGGTGGGTCAAAGGCGGCTGGGGAAGCTGACCCTGGCTCTGGGCTCTTTCCACCTGCTGCAGCCAGCCCAAGGATTCTGCCGTGGACTACTCCGGGCACACAGACTGGCAGGTGCTGCATGGGGAGCGGCTCAGGTGGGCTGGTTGGGCCCCCTCCTCACTTCCGTGGGGTCGGAGTCCCTCCCTGGGGGTGAGCGTCCCAAGCATGAGCTCTGGGAGGGAGCAAGGCAAACCAGACTGGAAGGCAGAGAAGAGGTGACAAAGCTTTTCAGACACCAACTTGCTGCGGCCTCACTGCCACCCTATGGACAACAAGACCCTGGGGTCTCTGATGGTCACATGGTTGAGCCAGTATTCAAACCTCGCTCTGCGGTTTGGGGAACCTGTGCCTTTTGGAAAATATAAGGATGCCCCTGGGTCAATGTCCGCATTTCACAGAGAGAAAACTGATGAAGCAGGTTGAGGGAGACTCTAGGGCCAAGTTAGCTACTACAGGTGCCAGGAAGGGCATCTGGGTACCCAGGTTCAAAAGATGAGTTTGCCATCCGGAGCGTGTCCTAAACTTTCAGGGCCCCAAGGCAGAGCAGTGAGATGTCACAAGGAGATTGACAGCTGGCCCTGCACAGCTCTTGGCCCCTGCCTCCTTCCTCTGATAGCACCAGCCCAGGGCTGAGCCTGCCTGTGGACCTCATGACTGGAAGAGGTGAAAAGCGACATTGGAATTATGACCACCAAGCCCAGGAAGAGGGAGAGGGAGAGAAGCAGGGCCAGGCTGGCAGGAGGAGGAAGAGGACAACTGGGGTGGGAGGCATCGGATTTTGCTTCGGGCTGGAAGTCAGTCTTTTGTTGGCTGAGGCGTTCACTTGGTAATACACGGGTCCTCATTCCCTGTCTATGACAGCAAGGACTTGCAGTCCCCGTGCCTCAGTTTCCCCCTTCCAGGAATGGTGTGAGCAGCTTGTCCCACGAGATGGGTACAAGTTCTTGGCAAACACAAGGATGACAAAATGCTTTGAGGACACAAGCTAAATTCAAATTCCAGTGTCTTCCTTGGCACCGTTTCAAAAAGACTGCAGTGTATGTCCCCTATCCAAGCAAGGGACAAGTAACACAGTCATTACAATTGCTCCAAACAATGCCTCTGCTATGGAGAGCTGTACCACTAGGTCCTTTAAGTCCCCAGAGGGAAGCCTGAGTTGAACTTCTGGTAAGGCTCAGTTGCCAGGGAACTTTGACTCCCAAATTCTCAAAGCAGGCACCATTAACAATTTTTTTTTTACAAAGCTTGTTAACTGTATATTTAAAAATCACTGTAATAATCAATCTCGCCCTCCCATGGGAGATTTTATTATCAGATTATACCCATTTGTGCTTCTGAAAATTGTAGCTCTCTCCAAAAACAAATAAAAAGCACCCAGAACCAAAACAGCTTCTGGTTTCCTTTCAAAGAGACAGAAAGCTTTGCAAAATGTTGCTGAGTATTTTGCCAGCACAATCTTATCTCCGACAGCTGCCTAAGAGGCTGACCCCAAGGAGGTCAAGATTTTTCCACTAAGTCATGCTTTTTAATCATGTAGGCAGCAGAAAAATGAGAGGTTGCAACTACAATTTGCAGGGTGGGAGAGACTGTGGAAAAAAGGACTGGAGTCCAGCTCGCCACGCGCATGACGAGTAGGGTTGAGGTGGCTGGCCGCCTGGCGCGCTGCTGGCCTGCAGGAACTGGCCGGGAATAAAAAACTGCCCCCTCCCCAGAAGAAACTGCTTCTGGCAGACCTCGTGTCCAACAGAGTCCCTTCTGTTGGGACTGCAGAAAGCTCAAACACAACACAACAAAGCCCTTTCCTTCTGTAGCAAAAGCCTCTAGGAGGCATTTCCCACTCTCACTCCAGGGCAGGGCAGGTCTGGCAGCACCGCCCCCAGCTGCGATCAATCAGCTCTACACCTTTCCCCCTCTGCCAACACTCACTCTGCAACCTGTCACACCAGGCTGCCTCGACTGTTGGCTGCTATGACACTAAGGAACACCAAGTTCCCTCCTTTGCAAATAGAATGAAATCTTTAACTTGGGGGTGGGCAGAAAGACAGAGCTCCCATCCACTGGATCCTTCCCTAAGTACCTGCCAGAGCTAGGGTTGGGTCAAGTGGAAGCCAGGAACCAGGAACTCAATCCAGGTCTCCCATGTGGTTGGCAGGGACCCAACTGCTTGAGCCACCACCTGCTGCTTTGCAGGGTGCACACCAGCAGGAAGCTGGAATTGGAAGTGGAGCCAGGGCTCAGGCCAGACACTTTTATGTGGGACGTGGACGTCTGAACCTCGAAGGCAAACAGCTGCTCACCAAGATCATCCGGGGGCCAGAGGCCCCACTGCACAGGAAGAGCAGGAGGTCTTGGGGATGGATGGGAATTTCGGAGGGAAGATTTGCCAGGTGGCCTCCGATTCCAGCCAGCCCCAACGGTTCAGGAACGCACGTGGATTGACTTGAAAGGTCAAGGGAGCTTTAGGACCATTGAGAAAGCAGCAATTGGTGTGATGCAGTTTAGAGGCCAGAGTTTGTGGCTGGTTAGCTCCGTGCTGTTCAGTGGAACATTCTGCAGTAATGGTAGCCTTGTCTGTGCTATCCCATACCTGCAGCCGCTGGCCACACATGGCTATTGAGCACTTAAAACATGGCTGGCATTTTAAATCATATTCAAATATTGTTAACATAAATGTATATGTAAGTAGCATATGAACATAAATGTTATATAAATGTAAATGGCTACCTATGGCATCGGATGGATGGTTAAGCCTGACAATGATGAAAATAGGCCCATCTGGGCCGACTCGGGGTGTTTGGTGACCTGACCAACACAGGCAGCCCCTGAGCCGAGAACTGAGCCTGGGGCAAGCCTCATTCTGGTGATGAGGGATTTGTCAGCAGGCTTTATGCTTACGTGGAAACACTGCCCGTGAATCGGCTCCCATTTCACCCACGGAGGGGAACTGAAAGGCAACACCGGGCCTCCAAAGCCCCAATTTGGGGACCTGGCTATCAGTTGTCTGCCTCTAAGCCAGGTGACCTAAACCTGGCTGCCTCTGGGATGGGGAGAGGGGAGAGCTGGCACCTGGCATGGAAAATGTGAGCGATTCTGGCGGGAGCCGCCCTGCCCTGCGTGTGCATCCCTGAGCCAGCCCCTCTGACAAACAGCCAAGCTGACCACAGAGAGGGCAGAGGGCACGGCACAGAACCGAGAGATGCTAATGCTAATGGGGAAAGCGGACACCGGCAGGTGGAGGAGATGAAAGGTGGTTAACTGGACACAAAGGGCTAATGCAAGCTGAGAGCTCCGGAGCTGGGGGGGAACCCAGCAAGGAGGAGTGCTGGGGGGTGAGGGCAGAGGGTCCGAGAGAAATAAGCAAGCTAGCTCCCCAGGCTCTGTGCACAAAGCC